TTAATAGGATGCGGGCTCACTTGTTAAGCTTACATGGGCTCAACTACAAAAACAGAAAAGAATCTACTTACTAACTGGATCTGGGCTTGGGCGAGCATGTGCTGTAAGTTATTGGGTCAATATTTATTAATGGAAAAATCTTGGGGGGGCGAAACTAAAAAATTCATTAAAAATTAACTAGAAATGGTGGACCGGCGGACAATGTTGGGGGGGCGGTCGCCCCCCCAGCCCCCCTAGCTCCGTCTCTATTTATAATTGTGTATCATTTCCCTCAATCCCTCACTGCGAATGAATGACTGGTGTTGCTTAGGATGGGAAGGCAAATTATCATTACACAAGGGAAGTCCATGGCCATAGGCAATAGGCTAAAATTTAAACAAAGTTGTGTGGTAGATGTTTTTACCTTGAAATGCTGCTTGACGGGTGGAGAATCACGTGTTAGCTTCTTATTGCCTCATTCATCAACCTTCTTGTTGTTCCCTTGAAATTGTCTCTAAATTGAATTGATGATCATCAATTACTACAACCATTGCACGATTGTAGTAGTATCAGGTGTTTGTCAAATCATAGTAGAAACTCATGCCTCTTCTTTCAATCAAAATCGCACCTTTTGTTTTGTAATTCTCACTATGCTTCCCAAAGTGCATTACGATTTTACTGATGTTGCTGATGTTTGGCCCTCCACCTCTGCTTTTGACTGGTTTCAGTTCGCCCTCTCACCGTTACATCTGAAGCTGGTGAAGAGGCTCAGTGGCTCACCAGCTATCCTGTCTATGGAAGCACCTAGGCAATATTGTATCCTACTTGGCAGACTCTGTAGAAGGGGAAGTAGAAAGCTCTCTGCTATCTAAATTTTCTTTTGAGTTTACCATTGTTTTACCTTCTATAGTATTGTCTTGCATTTGTTATGATAGAATTAGTTATATTTCATTTTGAAAATGGGAAGCACCAAAAGAAGAAGGCAAAGGAGGCGAAGAAATTGGGCATAATGAAGAAACCTAAGGTAGAGAAGGACCCCCGAAATCCCCAATCATGTGCCCTTCAAGGTACGTGAACTCAAGGCCCTTGAGGCTCACCGCCAACAAGCCATCGAGGAGCAAGATGCGAAGAAAGTCGCTCAAAAGGAGAGGGTAAATGAATATCATCATAATTTGTTTGATAAATTTGGTGTGTTAGTTAATTGTAATAATTAGTTGTTGCTAGATTTTGATTTTTCGTAGTTGCCTATCGTTTATGTAAGAAATTTACTAATAAAACTTTTCCATCCAGGTTCTAGAGCTTCCTAAGAAAAATAGAAGCATGCTCTTCAGTGAGGTATTTTTAAGGAGTAAAATTTAAATATTTAGTTTTTTCTTCCTGGCACTATCATTTTACTGTAAATCATTATGTATTACCTCCTAAGTGTGGTATTAATTTCACAAACTATGAAAGAAGTTAATTTATAGGTTGAGTTACTTTATTGATTGAAACCACATGAACGTTGAGATGACGAACCAGTACGACAGTCTTCTTTGGTGGCCGGAAGATGGCTGAAATGGCTGCGGCGGGATGGGGTAAGTTTTGGGAAGAAGGTGAAGTTTGGTGGGTTATTCTCAAGACTGGCCTTGAGTTGGTTGACTCTAAACCTGATAAGGAAGAGTGACAAAAATCGTGAGATGAAGTTAACGATGCTGTGTCTTTTTGTGGTATCAACTACTATCAAGGATACATGTTTACTTCTTCATCTTCTCCTATTTTACTCTCCTCCCTCCCATTTATCTCCGAGTTCAGTCATCTCGACACTAATCATTCCGAGTTCTGTCAACTCTACACCAATTATTCTTTCAGGGGCCTCTGTGTTTCCATTTAAATGTATGCATATCCAAATGATTCTGAGATCCTGTGGCTGCAATAGTTGCAATAGACCGTAAACTACAGTGAGGAGTTTTCTAGTGGCTTTGTGTACTTTTGTTTTTTCTATTTACATTTTTTATTGGTTGGTTATTTTGGAACTTAGAATTTGAACTATTTTCTTATTTCTTTTTTCTTCTTCCACTTCATCTTTCTCTGCTCGGAAGTTTGGTTTCTTTCTTGAGGTATATTTTAGAGTTCATATTCCTTAGATATTACCCTTACATTTGGAGCATATATATCTTTGTGATTGTGGCAAAGATCTTCCTAGAACAGAAAGTTCAAAAAGCTGATAGCCTAAATTTGGAAATTCAGGAGCTTGAAATGCAACTATCCAAAGAAAAAGAGGAGTGCAAACGGTGCCACTCTTAACTGAGTTTTTCTGTTCTCGTAGGCTATTTGGTTCATTTTCATAATGTGAATGAGCCCTGTTATAATTTTAATGCAATTTTCTCTCTCATCTTTTTAATCACATTTTCCAATAAAATAATATTATATGTAAACCCAAAACTTTTCCTTATTTTTTAGCCACACATTCTTCAAAAAAATCACTATTCCAAAATACATTTTCACCAAAAACACAGTAAAATGGATCCCAAATAGGGGCTGAATTTGACCTCTCTTCTATTTATTTTCCAGGATTACTTAGAAAATAAAGAAGTTCATCAAAGCACACAGTCGACACTTGCGGCTACAAGAGGAATTGAAGAGGTTCGTTTGGATAGTCTCTCCTTTATTTGCATTACGTTAATTTTCTGATTTTCTCGATTAGGTTCCATGATGTCAACCATTCTAAAGGATTTGACTTTGCAGGTCACAGGCTCACCTTAAGAAGCTGGGTGAGCAGCTTGGTTCAGATGCTGTGGGACCTAGTGCTAATGAAGATGATTTAAATATTAACAGCATAAGTGACCGTGAAACTGCTGATGAGCCTCAAGCAGATGCTTCATCACGCAAGAAAAGAACAAGACTTCACTTGGAACCTCATGATATCTCAAATCGAGGTAGTACAGAAACCTGAAATGATAAATAAAGCTCGTTGACATTCATTTATTGATAAATACATACCTAGATAAAATTCTATGGTACTATTTCATTTTGAGCAGTTACCATACTTAGGAGCAGTTAATGCATATGTTCCCCTTTATGTTTTCGAAATATCATTTAGTCCAATAGCCAAGTATGCATCTGGTTTAATCTCTAATCTTCCAAAAAGCTAGCTGTGCTTCTGTTTTTATCACAAGACCGAATTGCTTAAAATTGGTTAGTGCTCAAATTGTTGAGTGAATTGCTGAACTTTCAGCCATGCTTCCATGGAGTCACTGAACTTTCAAAATCACCTAAATCATCACTGAACTTTACAAAAGGTTTTCACAAGGTCACTGAACTTTAAAAATCATCACATTCATCACCGAACTTTGCAAAATGTTTCCCAGTGGTCACTAATTCAATGATCTTCTACGAAACCTTTTGTAAAGTTTGGTGATCCCGTTGAAACATTTTGCAAAGTTCAGTGGTGAATGTGGTGATTTTTAAAGTTCAGTGACCTCGTGGAAATATTTTGCAAAGTTCAATGATGATTTAGGTGATTTTTAAAGTTCAATGACCTCTTGAAAGCATGGCTGAAAGTTAAGTGACCAAATAGACAATTCACTCCTAAATTGTTCAACCTTCAACTTTGATGAATTTATTTTTTACCAGAAAAAATGGAATCAAAAGCCTATTATCTGTATACAAGTATTCTTTAATATACACGATAAAATACTTACAAATCCTTCAACTTTCTGAGGCAAGATCATATATTACATCATATAGCTGTACTGATCTGTTAATTTATGGTTCTTTGTTATGTGAATAAATAAATTTCTAATGAATGTATTTAATACCAGAAAGAAGTGGGGAATCATTTGCCTATTATCTCTATGCCTATGTGTTTTGTATGCTGAAAGTAGATTATACAAAACATAATTTTAGAGGGAAAGAAGGACATCCTTACTCAAATCATTCCCAAATTTCAGGTTATGATATAAAAATACTGAGGGTTAAATGTTACTTCTTTACTTGGGTCTTTTACCAAAACTGGGAGTTTTATTTTTTATGTAGGTTTAGTAGTAAAGTTTATTATATAGATTTGTGCATTTTCAAAACCAGAGTCAAATGCTGAAGAGAGAAAATTATTCAAAGAATTATCCTGTGCAGGAAAGTAAATATTAAAAAAAATTACTAGGTTTTTTGTGATTGATGGGGAGTGGGGTGGCTATTGCAGCACTGTGACCTTGAGGATTTCAGATTTCCTGGTGGAATTGTTTGATTGCTAACTTAACTTGGTGCTGATTTCCTCAAAACTGACTTCTGATTAGCTCCTGATTGCAAGAACCATTTTTTAATCTGCAACACAGATTTTGTGAGTATTGCTTATTGATATTGCATGGGCAAGATTCAACAAAAAGACAGTTTGTACCAGACTGGCTTTGTTGTTTCAGGTCTTAAAGTGAACTGGTTCTGTTTAAGTCTATATATTTCTGTGTTTCTGCAAGTTTACCTTTGAATAAATGGTAATTTCTTTCTTTTTCCTTTTTCTTCTTTTTCTTTCATCTGTTCATTTGGTGGGTAGGGGGAAGCTTCTTAGGTTTTGCATGTGCAATCGATGAGTAGCTGCCCAGAAGTTAATTTGGCCTTATTATACTTGATACTTTTGGCACTTGTATGCATTAAACTTTGTTTTTTATAGCATCAGGTGTCTTTTTATTTTTGACGTGCATGCTACAATTTGACTCACTGAGAGTTTTGGGACTTTGATGGTTCTTTATTTACTTTCTTCTAGTACTGCTTTGGCACTGACCTGGTGTAACTGTAATGTTATGGTTTTTGTACATGTATGTTAGCTAATTTTTACTTTTCCTAGAAAATTCAACTAAAGGAGATAAATTGGAAAAACTTTCTCGTTTTCATGTGCTTCATCTACAATCAAGCAATAGCAAGGAACCCAAGGCATATGGTGATGCAAATAATGGGCATAAGCCATTAGCATTCGGAGAAAAGCCAAGAAAGGGAGTAAACGTTCCTTCTGATACTTCCTTACCTGATAAGGTGCTGTCAACATTCTTCCCTTCTTTTTTCTCACTAAAAAATAATATGGTTTTTGATACATGTGAGGAGTGGAATTCATGGATCTTAGGATCATCCCAAGGCCCAAAAGGTCCATTGACGACTTTTGCATGCCCTAGGTTGAATTTGACCGTCTTTGTCAATCTATATATATGTATATGAATAATACTACTTTTTCGAGTGTAGACGATTTTCTGAGCAAAATTTGAAGCAATTCTTTTGAGACAGTAGAATTTTTTTGGCTGAATTTCATGCTAAACGGGCATAAGTTGCTTTCTCTGCCATCTATGCTTGTTTTGTTATTGTATTTCATTTTGGGTTAATTTTTAATTTAGTAATATTACAGACTTATAGTACATAGTGTTTGATATACGGTGGCTAAGTTTTCATATTTAGGGCTTGTTTGATACCTATTATTTCCAAAATACATTTCTCTCTTTTTTTCAACCACACATTTTTCAATAAAATAATATTGCATACAAATTCAAAACTTTTCTTTATTTTTCAACCACACATTCTCCATCAATCTACTATTTAAAAATGTATTTTTGAGAAAAAAAAAATGGGACTCAAATAGGCTCTTAGGTAGATTTGGATTTATTAACATTCTTTTACNAAATCACCGCCTCTCGCTTCGTTGCCGGAAAACTGAAGAACTCACCTTTCAAGTAGCGGTGAGGTTGGGGATGGATGAATGTAGTCCGCTGGGGGCAGTTTTCGGTGCCGTGGCTTTGAAGTGGGGGCGGTTTCCGATGAATAATGGCTGGAGAAGCTAAAGGGAAGCTCATCGACGGGAAATTGAGGGGATTGAAAACAGGCAAAATGAAAAGAAATGGAGCAATCGATTTTTTTTTTAGGGATTCATGCCAAAACGAGGTCGTTTAATCGGACGAAAGTGTGAACAGTGTTTTCAAAACTGTCTCTTTTATTGTATAGGGATAGAGAAAGGGCTGGACATTTAAATTTCCTTTCTAGGAAAAAAGGCTCCTAAGTGTGCAAATCTTATTAATAGTCATTCAACTGAACAAGGCTATATACCCCGTTAGGATATGTAAATTATTATTATTTTCTTCTAACATTCTAAAAATCTCTGCATAAAAGTTGTGTTTTTTGGGTCTCGGTCATGTTATTCTGTGAAAAAAGTAATTTATTGCATCAGTGGTATAGCCATATGGATAACATGTATGCTAATATACTGTTTAACCTCGAGATGTAGGCCACTAACTTTATAATTTGTTCTGCATGCTAAATATGTGCAGTCCAAGGTATCTGAATCTGGCCTACCATTGCCACCAACTGGCATGGCTGCTCATGTTGTTGAAGAAGATGTGAAAGTTGTTGAAATGGAGGAAAAGGCCCACGTGGTTATCGTAGCTGCTGCTGGAGCTGTGCCAGAAGTTACATTTAAGATCCTGACCTTACCGTTTCTGCTTCCACCGCTGCCTCTGATCCCACAGAACGTTTATGTACAGGTTACTTTTAATTCAAAACATAAATGCGTAATAAGATACACACCATACTACACTTTTTATACAGGTAAAAATGCTGTTGCCACCTAACTTATAATTAACTTCCGTTTTAGTCACCCCCATTTTTATGTTGTTTCAATTTGGTCACTAAAGCTACCACTTTGTTTCAGTTACATCACTAACATTATTCCCGTTAGTATTTTTAACGGTGGGTCCTACACGGAGGCTTGATGGCATTGGAGCCACGTTAAATTGATACATTTGCAAGTGACAAAAAAATAAATAAATTGATAAGCGTGTTTCAGAATTGATGTTGACCCTTTGTAGCGTTAAATATTGTTTTCAATCCTAAGATTTGGTGGAAATGCAACTTTCATAAGTGAATTGCTATTTGCTTATTTGGCTTGGAAGCATTTGAATTCAACTTCAAGGAGCTGCCACGTCATGGCAATCATTCTTGTAAGATTGGCTGTTAAGATGATGCAGGGTAGTGACGACTGATGGGTGATGTAACTGAAACAAATTGATAACTAAATTGTCACAAAATTAAGATGAGTGACAAATGAAACTAAGTCGTGCATTGGGTGTCCGAGAGTGTTTTTTGACCCTTTTTGTCCACGTGTAACATCTTCTTGTTGAAGACCTGACAAAAATCAATCTTGCAAAATGTCGTTAAAATTCTTGTAGTGTTTCATTTGGTTGATAATGTCGATGTAAATGGATGCACGACTATTGTATCATGGATATACCTATAAAAACACTTTATGAGAAAAAGATATAGGGTGAATCTTCGTGGAATATTGATGTTTGATATGTGATCTCTCTTTTAATATTATTGCATTCTTAAGCTGCAATTTAAAATTTGACCTAAGATTAGTAGCTTGTTTCATTTGCAGTACATGGGAGATGACGAGAATGTAGATAACTAGATATCGATGGACCTGATGAGGAGATGGTAGAAGTGGACATTGTTTGATGTTCATTGTTATTCATTATTATACGATTGTAAATGTATTTGTGCAACAATTAGAGCTAGGGATTTCCCGTCCATATAATGAATTAACATGCGCAGTACAAAGTTGAGTTTCTTACTAATTATCGAAAGTCATTAGAATGTGACCCCTCTATGTTGTTTACGGGATCTAGTTCTTTTGGGCTTATAGTTGATGCGTACTGGTTTGTATTCAAACGAAATTATCAATGTTTTAAAAATCAGACCGGATATTAACTCGGAATAGGATGAGGGTTAATGGTCAAAAGGTAGAACCGAAAATTAAAGTAATCAATTTAGTCTAATTTTTAATAACAATTTCATATATAAANGATATTAACTCGGAATAGGAAGAGGGTTAATGGTCAAAAGGTCGAACCGAAAATTAAAGTAATCAAATAAGTCTAATTTTTAATAACAATTTCATATATAAAAACTAAATGGGTCAACTCCAATGTTTGTCATAACCCAACATATAATTGCATATTTTATGAGATCGGCAACTTTTCAATCACATATTTGATCAACTTTTATCAAAATCTACTAAAAATCAGATTTTAATCCCCATCAAACTTAGATTTAATGTTAACATTCAACAAATGTTGAAATGGTCAAACTTTCAATATTTCTAGAGAGGATCATAGGTTCGAATATTTCCCTTTGTAATGATTTTAATAATTATGCTTCAAAATAGTGAATTAAAATAATGGTATGATGGATTGCTCTTGTAGAGAATGAAACTCAAAATCCCCTAATTACTAAACATGTGCTCTAACCAACTGAGCTACGATTGGCTTGAGAATATATGAAATTACAGTTATATATCCAAATATATATATACGTTGACACAAAAAAATAAAAAATTACATATTAGCGGATCCAGCACGGCATGCCAGCTGGGTACTTGATTCGTTTGTGCGTAGGTTCTTTTGCATATGCATTCGACGGCTTCTTCTGCACATATATGTGCATTTGACAGCTTCTGCCTTCTATCCTTTTTTTCAAGCTAGTCGAAAACTCGGTAAAACCGTCTCCGGTTTTTGGTTGAATCGGTCATTAAATCGATTTTTTTACTAATTTCTTTGTTTTGTTTATCAAGCTAAAATCAAATTGGTCGCCAAATCGGTTTACGATTTTTACAATTGAACTAGGGTTCGATCCATTTTCATAAAATTGGAAATTACACTTTGGTGCCTACATATCAGCTTATGATGTAGCCGGAGGACATTGGCATAAAGATTCATGCAGCATGCAATTGGTGTATTGAAGACACCATCTTCCAATGATTCAAATAAGAGGAAAGATGTCCACACGGGCATGGCGCAATGGTAAAACAAAAGAGTTCTCCACGGAGCATCGAAGGTCGAATCCCCGCGGCAGCTGAAGGCAACATTTAAATGTTGAAAGACAGATGTCCACGGGGAGGAGAACCGTCGAATGTCCGATCTAAGTGTGTATAAGTTGTGACCGTATCTGGATTAACCCAAGTGATCACAAAATCAGAGGGGAAGAACGTCACTCCTCAAGATTAGTCGGACGAAGTTTGGACATTCGAGTCATAAAAAAAAAAGAGGAAAGCCTCCACTGGGGTCATAACCCGAACCTATTTTTTGTCAAAATATATTTTTCTCTATCTTTTTTCAACCACACATTTTTCAATAAAATAATATTACAGGCAAATCAAAAAATATTTTCTTCATTTTTAACCACATATTCTCCATCAATCTACTATTTTAAAATGCATTTTGCTCAAAAAATGGGACTCTAATGGGCTCTTAGTATTAGATGATAAGTGAAATTAATATGAGTTATTTAATTCCACCATTCACTTAACATATAACATAACATCATATGTGTTGTGCTTCTTGTACATCAGAGGGTACATCCGGGTGTCCATAATGGACAATCGGCACCCCCATATTGGAGGGAGTGCATGTCCCCTGATGTACATCTAGTATTTTCCAACATAATATAGATTGGAGTTATAACTTAAGTGAGGCTAAAAACATTATTTTTCAAATAATTCCTCTCGATCTATTTAGCCCAATTAGGATTATAACTCAAGTATATGTGGTGTTAATGTGACATTAAGAGTGTGTTTGATTGTATTTATTTTTTCATGGAAGATGTCAGTTTTTCACATAAATTTCTATTTTGATGTGTTTGATTGCTATTTTTTCATTAAAAATATTTTCCATCTTTTGAAAATATGTCTAATTTTCCTTTTTT